CTGCTAGATGAGACACTGGCTAAAGAGCTTAAGGACTTAGCTCCAGCTCCGCTCCTGCCCCCTCCCCACACAGGCCCCCGGGCAATTCCCTGGTACTGGGCCTGACACCCCACTTCACTTCAGTCCCCCAGCCCAGGCCGCCCTCTGCCCCCTCCTCCTGCTTCCTGCCCTAGGAATCAAGGGAGGTGCCCCCAACGCACAACCGTGAGGTCATTTGGGATACAGGAAATGGGGGAGGGGCCTGGGTGCCTAGAGGAGCAGAATGGGGACCCCCCCCCCCAGAGGTCCACCACCGTCCTTGGTTCCCAGGGTCAAGGGGACAGAGGAAATAGAGAGTGGGCCTCAAAGAGTCAGAGAGGGAGGCCACCTCCCCGGAGCAAGTGCTTTGAGGGGCGTTAGAAGCTTCCAGGGTTGCCCAGGAGCTCACGGTGGCCCAACTGGGGAGAGAAGGGCCCGGCAGGAACTAAGCCTGTTGCACCCCGCATCCCAGACTTTCTTGCCATTCCTCCTCAAGGACCCCAGGGGGGTGGAGCGTGGGTCAGGCGAGGCCATCTTGAGCTCCTTTCTGTCCGGTGGAAAGTCCAGGGCAAGCCAGGCTAGGCAGGGTGTGGAGTGAAATTCAGCAGTGATGGGGCCTGAGCTGGGCCCGCCACACCCTCACGTGTGCTCCTTCGCCTGGTCTGTGCTGCGAGGATGTTGGGGCAGGAAGAAGTAGAGCCCCAGACCAAGTGGGGCTCAAGAGCAGCTCCCCAGCGACCAAATCCGGGCAGCTTCCTGCCCCTTTAGCTTGGGCCTGTTCCAGGGTGCCTCCATTTCTCAGCCTCCCCCCGCCGCCCCCACTTCAACCTCAGCACCTCTTCCTTCTGCATGCTGCCCCCCTACCCCCCCATCCTCCTTCTTGCCTGGGGGGTTTCTGAAGCAAGGGGGGAAAAATGCCAGTTGGCTGCCTGGGCATCTCCACAGCTTTTCTGGTTGTGTGTGTGTGTGTGTGTGTGTGTGTGTGTGTGTGTGTGTTAACTCTGAGCTTCAGTTTTCATAGTGACAGCCCAAGCTACAAGTCCCTACCTGTGGCAGGGGGATTGCGGAGTTCCCGGGCTATGCAAGGGTTAAATGGTGCTGGGGACCCAGGCTCAGGGCCGGCACTGGCTCTGCGCACTTGGGCTCCTCAGTGGCCCAGCACTGCTGCCCCTGGGGCGTGAGAAGCCCGAGGGGGGAGTTTCTCAGAGAAAGAGGGAGACTAAAAATAGTAGCCCTGGAGAGCAGGCCCATTCTCAGTCTTTCTCGGCTTTTGCTCTGGGGAGTGGGCCAGAGGGTCCCTTTCTTGGGCTGTTCCGGTCTCCTTTGCCCAAACCCAACCACCCCCTTCTCTTTGGACGACACTGGGGACCCTAGAGTGAAAAGGGACCGACAGTTGGGGACTTCAGCTCCGGCGGACACCCAGGGAGGAAGGCTAAAGCCTGGGGCCTCTGCTGCTCCGGGTTTCTGATGTGCTGATAAGAAAGGGAGCATTTGCCCAGAAGTGTATCCACTGCCATCATCTGAACCCCGTCCACCTCTTGCAAAATGAAATACTCCTGGGGATTGAGGGCACAGCACTGCCGTTGGTAGGAACTGCCTGGCCTCTGGGAGCACTGCAGACGTGCCAGGAGAGGCAGCCGCGCCCCAGGAGGGGGTGTCCGGGGGCCTCGGGCTCCTTGAGGCAGTGGTTGTTTCCAGCTGTAGAACCTCTGGCCTAGCCCCCCCTCCTCCCTCCTCCCTCATTGTCTTCGAGCTTATCGCTGGGCACAAGTTTCCTGCCCGGGCCTGCCTGGATCCCGCCAGGAAATGGGAAGGAGGCTGCGGAGAAGGCTAAGGACTAGGTGTGGGGGCTCCTACGGGCTGCAGCGGGAAGCGGTGGGGGTGGTGCGCATCCTGGCCTGAGAGGCTTCAACCGACTCCTGGCGGGCGGAGGGCCCGGCCAGTCTGCGGCCTCTGCCCGTGCCGG